GGTTATGACAGAGAAGCTTGGGGGACGTGGGGAGCTAATCATAAGGCGCACAAGAAAGGAGTAAGTGTTCTGAAATAGATAGAAGTGATGCTTGCACAAGTCTTTAATATGGTTAAGCCATTGGATTTACGATGTATGAATTATATCTCCATAAAACTGTTAAGATTTTTAAAAAATATAATGCTACTGTTCAAGCAGTTAATTTTCCATTTAGGAGATAGATGAAAACAAATGTCAGATGAGTGTTTGTTTCCATTGTGACTCTGTCTAAAAGACGAAGAGTGTGTGTCCATATAAAACAAAGCAAACATAAGTTTAAGAAAGAGACGTTTCCAAATCAACTGTGATAAGATCTTTTTTGGGGGCAAAACTGTAAAAAGTGTTACTTTCTTTTCCTTTTATGAACCTCATACAGAATCTGTCAAAATGTACGCAATTTCTAAAAGCTCAGCCAAAGGGGATATTTCGGAGGAGACTTACTCATATATTTCTAAATTGGTCAGCTTGTTTTCAGTCACATAGTTGCTTGGGATTAAGCCTTCGTTCCTACAACAAAATACAAAGCAGAAAATCAAGATGTTTTTGGCACATTTGTAGCATTTTCATGGCAACAACTTTCTAATAGCTCAAAGATATAGAGGGAAATCAAAATTGTTTTACTAATTAAGCTGTTAAAGAATAAAAGGGTTTCCATTTCCACATCCAACTAAAATCTTTGTGTGTTAATACTAAGTCACTGGCTTATAATGTGAGTAGCTTAAGATGTTTCATGACCTCAAATCTCTTCAAACATGAAAAGGGAGACTTAAATGATAACTGGTATAAAATCACTACTTATTATAAAAATATTGACCTCATTCTTTTTAAGCGGGACTATCCAGCAGGGAAGAAACAAAGCCCACATGGAAGAAGCACACTAACCTATGTGATCAAGAGATGTCAACTGGATCAGGTATCAGAAGACCCAAAACAAACAATCATTTTAATGCAAATGAGGGGAGTCGGAATGGAGACCCAAAACCCATCTATAGACAATTGGGCATCCCTTCTCAGAAGGGTCACAAGGAAGGGACAATTCAGTCAGGGTGCAGTATAGCACCAAAATAAACACACAACATGCCTCTAGTCTAGTGCTTTAATGCTTCCTCTCCTCCACTATCATGACCCCAGTTCTACCTTACAAATCTGGCTTGTCCAGAACATGTATACTGGTACAAATAAGAGCTCTCGACACACAGAAGCCAGGACAGATAAACCCCTCAGGAACAGTAACTGGAGTAGTGATACCATGATGGCAGGGGGACAATGGGAGGTGAGGGGGGAGGGAGAAAGGGAGAACCAATCGCAATGATTGATGTACAACACCACCACCCTCTCCCCAGGGGGATGAACAATAGAAACATGGGTAAAGGGAGACAGCAGATGGTATAAAATATGAAAATAAAAGTAATTTATAAATTATTAAGGTTCACGAGGGTGAGAGGGTGGGGTAGGGAGGGATAAAAGAGGAGCTGATACCAAGGGCTCAAGTAGAAAGAAAATGTTTTGGAAATGATGATGGCAACATATGTTCAAATGTGCTTGGTACAATTGATATGTGGATTGTTATAAGAACTGTAAGAGCCCCCAATAAAATGATTTATTAAAAAATTTTTAAGTTAAAAACTAAAACCTGGTGTGCTTAGCCTAATCTCTGTACATTCCAGGTTCTACATATTAATAGATGTTTGCAGCTGTTTCTTCCCACAAGGATTGTACCAAAGGAAGGTCTTGCCAGCTCTACTC